GTTTCTGGGCGCCGACCCTGACAGCGTGAGGGGTCAGAAAAGTCCCGCATCATGATTTTGAATAGCACCAACATTTCCTGCCCACCCACAGCGCGAATCGCCTTTTTAGTCCGCCATGCGGTAGTATACGATGGGGTTTTATTGCTTCCAAAAGCGGTTACGCCTTTAAATGGTTATTAAATTCGATAATGTAATTAATTCAGTGTTTAATATTGGAAATATGTTTATTATAAAATTATATTGAAAAGATAATCGTATGCTTTATAAAATTAAGAATTATGAATAAACTAGCGGTAGCCCACGACTCCGTCCGCGTGGAATTAAATGAAAACTTAATTAGTAGCCTATGTGTTCTTCCAGACTATGCTCTGTATGTATACCAAATTTTATTGAAATCCGTTAAGCCGTTCCTGAGATACTTTCAAACAAAACCATCCATTTTAACATTCGCATTTATAATATTAGTAAGATTAGTAAAATTGGGGTAAAAACTATTTTATTTACTCAGAAAAGGATAAAGTTTTTTTTAATATTCTATCGTCTAACAATGCACCTAAATGTACTTGATATTTTTCACCGTTTTGTTTTATTTTGTATACATGTAAATCTCTAAAGAGTTTGTAAACTCGCTTCCCGCTATACCGCACAGCGTTCGTAACCCAAAATGGCGTTTAAAATATTATGTTGGTTTCAAAATCGTACTGAAGATAACGTTATGAATATAATCACCGCAATTCCGCGTAATTGAGATCACAACTTTTAGTTTCACTTCCGAGCCGGTAATGTTTTTATATGTTTATGTCGTGAGTACAAGATCGTAAATATAATTAAATTTATTAAAGAAGTCTTGAGACGCGGGTGTTTCCGCTTGAATCACTTTACCGTCTAGCACAGTCATATACAATCTTTATGGCGACTCGCAATTCCACACGTTGTTGAAGGTAGTAAATGGTTGTGGGTGCTAGGAGTTCAACTGCTCACGCTTTCCTTCGCATACAAACACCAGGAGCTGCCAAAAAGTTTGAATCTTGTAATACATGATATCAACTGCTTTACCAGCGTCGGAGTTCAAGCGTTTTCCTCGAACTGATTGATTAAACTTTTTACAATACATAGAGATTTTGTTACAAATCATATTGTGACTTCATATGTCTTAAACCAACAAACTACGTCATCATTTCATTGAACATATTTAACAACTAGATAGTTAAGACCTTTTGATACTTCTTTATTTAACATGTAATATAATTAATCTTGACTTTACTGTAAAGACTGTTTTGTGTAGCAAATCTTAACATCTAGCTTGTGACAAGGATAATCCTTCGGTAATACATTATTCGCTGAGTTTCCTACAACACTCATTATGCAGTAAACGTGTTCTTAGAATGTCTCATAGAAACAAATTGTCGACCTTACAACGTACAAATAACGTTCATTAATTAAATACTATGAAAGGACATTGCTAACCTAATTAGTTACTATTCAATTACATACAAATTTAGAATAATTATTTTTGAAACTTACGTTATCTCAAAGAAATAAACAAATATATTTTTTGTTGACCTTATTTTTTGAACAACTTATTTCTAAGAAGATTCACTTTTATAATACACTAGCTGTCGCCTACGACTCTATCCACGTAGAATTAAAAATCTTAAATAGTAGTCTATGTATTCTTCCAGACTATGTTCTACATCTATGCAGCCGTTATGTAGATACCTTCTGATAAACATCCATATCCAACCATCAGTTCAAACATTCGCATTTATATAATAATCTTTATATATATAATTCTTCTGTGAGTGTGTATGTCACTGAACTTCTCTCAAACGACTGGACCGATTTTGATGAAATTTTTTGTGTGTGTTCAAGGGGATCTGGGAATGGTTTAGATTCACAATTTTGTCCGCTGGACAATGTTTTTTTAATTATTTTTTAATTTATTAGTAGTTGTTGTTTTTGGAATGTTTTACATTGGATCCGACAGACGGCGCTACCATCGCAGTGTCAAATTTCAAATAATATTCAAATTAAAGACGTGTAAACAGGACAACGTCTGTCGGGTCCGTTAGTATTATATAATATTAAGATGTCATTATTTAGAGAATTAAAATTATTTAGCATCACAAGCCAAAGGTGGTCTCCTGCATAATCATCTTAAGATAGTTCTATTGTTGTTGATTTGCCGACCTTTTGTTTTCTTTCGTTATTAGTAAACGTAGCTTTTAAATACATAGTAATAACTTTTAACATATCCTCAATTTTCTAACGTTTATTGGATGATTTGATACATTTAGTTGGCAGCAAATAGTTACCGCATCCGACATGATTTGCAAAATTGCCCATGTAACCTTCTAACATCATCTGGTGTTCGAAGACCTAAATACGTAAAACCACATTTTCAGGAATACTTTTTATTATAACAGAAACAACCGCAAACTGCTGCGTAAAGATGATTTATATGTCTGGAATGACCATGGAGTGTTTAAGTAATATAAAACGTTTAGGTCATTTAAAGATAAACGACTTAGGCGTTTTTCTGGGTCAATAGAATATCCACAATTCGCCTTGAGTTTATTACTCGTATTTTTCATTGCACCTTTCTAATTGTAGTATTTAAATATAGAATTATCGTACTAAGCGTAGTGTTCATCTGTTTAATTGCCTCATGTTTTTTTTATGTAATTGGATTGTGTGAAAGAGGATATGCATAAGAGGGGAATGGATTTAGATGTGAGGACTGATAAAGACGTATGGAGGAGTAGTACATACTGTGCCGACCCTCCATTGGGAGCAGGTTGATAGTGATGATGTTTTTTTGTAGTCAATTCTAATTCTAACAAAAGAAAATTTAGCTTTCTTTCTTTGAATCTCCAAATTTAGCGCCTTTTACAATATTTTAGCAATTGTTAATTTCACTTTGTGACCAATATTTTGTTATTTACTTTGCACTAGCTTAAGTGAATTTTTAATACGAGCAGTGCCGTGACTGGCTAATAATTGCGCGGTTTTTCACTTAGTGGAAACGGGTTTTATGTATGAATCAATATGAAATTTGATTTACACTTAAGGAAGTCACCATACTAACAGGTGACTCAAACATACCTACTCTGAGTCATGTACTTAGAAACCATACTGATCAATTTACGGGTTTCCTTATAGCTTACGTTAACGTAAACAATTGTATGGAATTATGAAAGAATTTAAACATTGATTTTTAAATTTTAAATTCCGAATTTCAAAGAAAAAATGTTTTAAACTGCTGGCGTTAATTCTGGCCGAAAATAATAAGTGCAAATAAAACATAATTACGAATTGTTCATCCAATAGTTATCTAAATATCTGAAGATAAAAGATATGGGTGTTTACTTGGAATGGATTTTATTTTTCTTCTATACTATGATAGGAAGGAAATCCGACACTGTGCCGGTGTACTGGCCTTACTAAAATGTCGACGTTTATGTCCCCTCACTAATCATTCTGACACTCGACTTGGTAATGAAAGCCCGCCATCCTCGTCAAAGGATTCTAACTAATAATGCCCAAAAATTATAAGACACAGCTGTTGTTAAATTATCAATAAAAATATTCAAAGGGAAATATTGAACTAGCAATGATAAAGTCCTTTTTAGTTATCGGCAAAGGTTTCAGTCAATATTGACCCGAATGGCGTGACATGACTTATCATTTCAAACTCTACGATTGTCAACTTTTATGAATTCCAAGTTCATGTTTTTTGAGTTCGGATTTTGTTTCACATTACACAGAACCGTCGGCTTTCACTGTCAAATCTAAATTTAAGAAGACATTAAAGGTCCAAAAAATCGAGAAATGTGGACACTGCTATTGTCAGTGGCCAAGGCCGAATTCGGATCACTGCGTCATCCTAGTTATAGTTGTTTTAAAATTTAAATAATCTAATATATGGTAAGCAGATATTGAATATTTCTCATAGCAAAGATAATAGCATACCTTATTTGCATACCATGAGTTTGAATACTGTAAACATCGATTTGCTTTTTCCATTTAAATATTTTAGTACTTATCAAATGAAGAGTTTTACACCTCAATTAAACTTTAGACTGTACAATGCTCCAGTAGACACGTCCGCATTGTGTTAAAAGATATAACATGTTGAATGACGGCCGCGATAAGGACAGCTCTAAATATTTTCCTTAATTTTTAAAGCCATTCCCCAAGTGACAACGTTCATGTACGAGTAAAAGTGATTATTATTAGAGATAATTTAACTTTGACTTTTATTTCTATGAGACGTAATTTTCATATTTTTAGGTACAGTTAGATTGTGTATAGAGCCGTCTTATATTATTCAGGTGCCCTACGGTACACAACACTAATATATATCTACCCTTAATGTTGCCAGATTTGAAAAACTTTCTAGTCTGTCTTAAAATCTTTGTAGGGTTAGCTTGAAATAAAATTAATCTTACTAATATTATAAATGCGAATGTTTTGATGGATCTTGATGAAATTCGGCAGAGATGTAGAACATAGTCTGGATGAACACATAGGCTACTAATATAGTGTTTTTTTAATTGCGCGCAGACGGAGTCGCGAGCGACAGCTAGACAGATTAGGGGTACAAAAAAATTAAGTTTTTTATGTGAATGGGTTATGTTGAATTAATGACTTAATCGAATCCTCTGACATCACAATGAAGTTCTGAGAAGATTTCCGAGACCCACCACGATTTTAAACCGATCAACATAATAATTGCAACACTTACAAGGTAATTTAAGGATGATTTTAATTGAATAATCAATCATTCATGCCGCAATCATCGCGCCATACCTTTTATAGTGAACACAATTATTTACAGCATAAACAAAATTGCCATATCAAATACTACACTAGTTTTTTCCTAACTCGGTGTCACTTTACGTTATCGGTGACGTATTCGGTGATTAAAGGACGCAAGTAACGACTAGTTATGATAAACACTGATAATCTCATTCTGGTGTTACGGCTCAAGTGCACGCTCGTTTGTTTCAATCTGTGTGTGTTTTTTTTTCTAATAATATTTAGATTTAACAGCCAGTTACATTTACATTTTAATGTGTCGTGTTCTATTTACACCAGTTTTAAGTGTCAAATGGAATGTGTAAATATTTATAGCGATGCACTATTATAATCGTTATAAATTCGATGTTTAAATCTCTTGTACCGTTAACGATATTCAGATAATCTTGTGAACGTCTTGGGTTCTTTATAGTGCGTTAATCGCAATTTTTATTTTTAGTAGTAGTGTAACATCGTATGCAAGTAGACCGGTGCGTGGTTTATCGATTCGAAAAGTCGATAATTTGTATCGAAAATGTTGTTAATTAGTGATGTTCATTACACGAAAGTGCTATGAATCAGTGGCTCTAAAGATGTGCGGGCGTGTACGTGGCAATCGTTTTCTTGTTTACGGTTTACGTTAAAAGTGAGAGCAATGAGTGTTCCTAATTTAAGCGCCGACCAGATAACAGGTACTTAAAAATTTTCTTTTTTTTCTTTGCTTTAAAACGCTTTTTATCGTTTCGATAGCCAGTGTTGTCTTTAGAACTATCGATAGTTAATACAGTTGTAAAGACAACTCTATTGAAATTCATGAGAGTTTATTTTTCTAATTTATCCTACAATTTGGACACTTTCTTTTGTTTTTAATTATTTGATTTGCAGTTTTAGACTCTTTGTACATGTGTTAGAGAGTATATTTTCATTTCTTGTAAAGTTAAAAGGGTTTTTAAACAAGTATGTTTACGGAAAATTATACAATACTTATTCGGCGTCGTTTATTTTGTATACTTTGGTTCTGTTATGTTTCTATTTACATTTTAAGCAATTCAAATAAATTAAATATATTACAATATACAGATTATATTAAATTGTATCTTTAATTACATTTCAATAATAAACTACTATGAATATATAAAATCAAAGAATTTTTGAATTACTGAATTCTTTAAAATTATCTGTAATTTGTAGTTTTAATTCGTAGCCAGCTTTGATCTATCTATTTGCTTTATCCTTGTATATTTTACCGTTGTTTCTGACAACAAAATCTCTGTATAACATATCTTCATCCCTGTCATTATCTTTTACAAAACAACAACAATATATTGTTTTAAACATGGATTTTGGACTCAGAAACTTACGGTTAGTATGTTTTTTTTTTAAATCAGATTTCGTTGCCGATTGTCAGCAGTTAAACAAGAGCTATATGTTTCGAATAGCTGTAATATATCTTTTGCAGCTGGGTAACTCCAGCAATTAATATTGTATCAAAGTTTTTTCTGTCTACTAAATTGGTTTGCAGTTGTGACGCAAAAACATCTAGCAGATGTTTAAAACCTGCTCGTTTAATTTATACCCGTTTCTATACAAACAATTGCCAGCTCTTTGTTTCGTAGAAGAACAGTTTTTTTTTTAATAAATAAAAATGCGCTTCTCTATGCTATGGTTCTGCATTTAAAATTATATTTAAAACTCCGTATGTTCTTAAAAATATTTCTTATAATGTTACTAGCGGGCTTATATTTATTAAAATTTAACTTTTAATTATGACGTCATCGTGTCATGATAATTAACGAGGGTTTCCACTGCGAAACATCTGTGCATTTATTTATTATTTTTCAAAATCAAAAAGGGGATAATCAAGAAATAACTTTTATAAAAAAATAGAAAATTAAAGCTTTTATTTAAATTCGCAAAAACGAAAAAAAAAACTCACTAAAGAGTTCCTGTGACCTCCTTCCAGCTCCATCATTAGACTCTGGTTAACATTGCCAAACTAGTCAAGATGATTCAAACGTGTCCAAACTCGATGAGATTGTGTTAATTCATTGCGGAGTTCCTATGGCCATCTTCCACCTTCATGATTAGATCAGTACCATGTTATATAATTGCATTGTCGTATAATTTATGGATGGAGGCAAAATTTTAGCTCAAGTGGGGAAAGTGGACCTTTAATTTGCAAGATGATTACATAGGGACAGGTAAAACCAAATAAAAACTTAAACAAAAGTTTGTAATTATAAAAACTCTTAGGTATCTGTCCATATTAATATATTACTCGTAATAAGAACGATTTTAGCTTCATATTTTCCCATCAAATATAATACATTTTTTTGTATAATTATTCCATTTAATTGTTGCAATTAAATGTACGATCGAAAATGTAACTTGATAACATTTTTTTTGTTCGTTTTGAAGTTCGCAAGTTTGTCTTTATTGTTTATACAAGAATTGTATAAAAAAGTCTTCTCCTTATTTTAATACATTACTAAACTATCCTTTAATTTATAATCGCTCCTTTATTTATCTCTGTATAAAACATATCGTCATCCCTGTGATCTATGACAAAACCAAGATAATAATGTGTTTTAAAAGTGGTTTGGTCTCAGAAACCCATGGTAAGTATTTTGTTTTGTTTTGCTTCAACTATGAAGTGATTAGGATAGTATAAACATATTGATAAGGAGTCTTGTTTAATTTTGTTAATGGTTTAATTTGTTAAAGACTAATATTAAATTATTTCTATCTATAATAGTTTTGATAATAAAAAATTATACATTGTTTTTAATAAACAAGGGATTTCGCGAATTGAAATATTGATGAGAAAGAGAAATTTTAATGAAAAAGACGATTTTTCATTAAAATTTCTCTTTTTTGTATTATAAATTTTTGCAAGGAAAATAAATTAAAAACATTAATCTCTTTGGAATTATATTAATAGATTAGGTTTCAAATATATTATGGAATCAAAATTATCTAAGTAAGCAACGCATATGCAATTGCGTATGTCTATGGGCAGCGATCACTTCGCTATTTCAGCGATTTCAGGTGGCCACTCGCTCGTTTGCCACCTTATAATATAAAAAAAAATATCTTAAATGCGGTTAACTCGAAGTAATAAGGTTTTATGTTTTAATCATAAGCAAGAAAAATTTAAGCAATAAAGTTAAACCAGTCTTTTTAACGCTTAATTCGACGAAATTTTTTGTAACGAAAAAACTGTTTAAGTAAAGTCATACTTACGTAATTTTCTCTAAACTTGTCCAGTAGATTTTTTTTAATTAGTTGTTTGTCATACTGGACACCATCGAATTAAGGGTTAATCTGGATTATCGGACAAAAAATGCGTACATTTCATTTCAATATTATAAATGCGAAGGTTTGGATGGATAATGTTTGTTATAAGGTATCTCCAAAACGACTGGACAGATCTCACTGAAATTTGGCATAGATGTAAAACATAGTCTGGAAGAACTCATAGGCTACTATTTTTTTAATCCCGCGTGGAAGGAGTCGCATGCGCCATCTAGTAATATAAAATTTAAACATCTAGCTAACTTGCATTCCATTGGAAAACATATGTAGGCGTTGCCAGATGATACATCTAACATCAAATCCCATGTCGAAATGAGACGCTAAAACGTGTTCCAGAGCAACTTTTTCTATAATTTGCATCTAAATCTTTGTAAGCTATCAGAGAGAAAACATATGTCACACTGTTTTGTATAATGCATACGAATTGTGTTTAACCTAATTAAGTTAACTCTATATTTATGGGTGAAGTGTTTTCCATCTTTTAAACTTAAGTCAAAATAAGCGTCTGTGGCTTAGGGGTTAGGCACTCGACTTGTAATCTGGTCCTGAGCTCGAATCCCGCGCTGTACCAATGTGTTTTCGATTCATTTATCCGACGTAGACGACGTACGACGTATGGTCACTAGCGCGTACCATCTTTCGACCAAATCTCCACTAACACCAGATGAGATCGTGGTCAAGCGCTGACTTATCAAACGTAAAAAAAAAAGTTCTTACGGTGAATTCTTCATAGAGATGTACCGTGAAAATAAAAATGTACTCTTATAGTGGTAGAGTGTTACATTAGTTTATTTAAAATTAAATTGTAAAAACATTTATATCTTATTGTTGCAGAGATCGAAGCGGCGGAGGCGTGCAAATGGCTACGAGCGGCCGGCTTCCCTCAATATGCGCAGATGTACGAAGGTAAATTACATCTTATATATCCAAATAACAGTAGTAAGATACAATTACACGACAAGATCTGTTAATTAATTAAATAAAAACAAAAAAAAAACGACTGACTGACTAAACTCTGTATAGAACATATCTTCACACCCGACTTTCATTTTGACAAAACAGATGTCACAATATGTTTTAAGCGGGGACACAAACCTAACCTTGGGTTTCTAAGACCTTTTGGTCCCTAAAGCTCAGGGGATGAATATGAATCGAACGATCTCTGAAACATCAAAATAAGTTTGGTCGTTTAGGGTACAGAACGTCACAATGGAACTTGGGTGAAAAAAAAGGGTTTTTTCCATTATTAATAAAAATAAATTAAAGATAATTTACCAAGTTCTAAATACATGAATAGTATGAATACATAGTTATGCAACTGATGTCAGGCTAAGGCCGTGTCTCAACGACGCCTGAGTCCTGACCTGTCCCACGAAACTATTAATCATACTTGCTGCGCAGTTTGTCCCACATATACAGGATGTTTAGTTTTGCTAAGCTTAAATAATACGTCTCGAAGGTAACCGTGCCAATTAGACACGATATTAATGTCTTTGCATTAAATTAACATTCAGTTCAAATACTTAATAATGAATGTTAATTATTTCGAAAAAGAAAAAAACAGATCCTGTCATTCGGGGATAGTGTAGCTTTCCAATAGTGAAGGAATTATTCAAACTTCTTCAGTACTTTCACAGCCTGTTCAATGCAAATTAACCTAGAAACAATCAAATTGTTTCTTTTTACTATTTGTATAAATAATTGCACGAAAAGTTTATAAAAAAATTACTGTCATGAATAAGATTAGTTTGAATTTCGTTGGTTTAATTAAAGTTAGTGGTTACTTTTTAATATAACATTATTCAGTTTAAGTTTCGTCTTACTGTGTACTTCGATGTAACAAACTTCAGCTGCGGAGATGAAGCCAAATCCAACTCAATTGGCTATTCATACATAGCGTTGATATAATGTGGACATGTCTTATTTTACTTAATAGGAATAAATAATTGATATGGAATTGCGTAATAAAGTACAAGAAAAAAAAGCGTAGATCAAAATGACAATATTCAAAACTTGTTTTGTTTTTCGGATTGGATTAAAATATGAGTTTTTTCTGTATCGTAAGTCTTAATATAAAATCAATTGGAAAACTTTAAAATAAATAAAATTTATTCTATTTTATGACAATTTCTGTCTTTAAAATATTTAAAGAATTATCAGGAATGTCCATACTAATCCAATTCATTTCGATGACAATATAAACTAAATTATCCTTTATTATGAGCTAAGGACTAGGGACGCGCAGTCACTCTTTCTTATTGAATTTGTGGTCACGTATTGAAACATTGTGACGGTAAATATTTTATTCTTTTCTGTGAACACTCTGTATCTTGATTTTTATTAATATTCTCTATAAATTGTATTTTATGTTTACGAGTTTTGTAGTATGGATACAAATTAATATAATTTTACGATGATTTCGAAGTTAAACACGGCAGAGTATTGGTATATTTGAATTAGACTCATAAAATAACGTACAATTAGTATTGGTATACTAATTCTATCAAACGTGCTCTATGAATGTATGTCATCGGTATTTATAAAAAGCGTCTTTTTCGCTCCGAAAAGAACGCTCTTTTCCCCTTTATGGTGAATTACACGCTGCAAGCATCCTGTAGTTCTGTGCTGCTGTGGTTATAAGGCGATACATTCTTCAATTGTTCTTTAAATAACTAAACCGTTGATTTCTGTGACCAAGATCTCTCATCTCTGTAATTGACTTGACAAAACGGAGATAACAATATGTTTTAAACGGGGAATTTGGTCCCGGAAACCCATAGTAAGTGAAGTTGCATACATTAAAATTGTATAATAAATCCAAGAAACAAACGAGGTGCAAGTAACGTCCACAATAAATAGAAACCTAAGGAGTAAACAAATATTTTAGCGGGAACTCGCTAAATACTATTCGTAACGTCAATAAATCTTCTACAGATAATAATTTCACCACGTTTCCGTCATTGGTGATAAACAAACTTGAAGATAGATAGTGAAATCGCTTGCTTAACGATAGATAAAGTCGCGCATAATAATGAAGTTGTATTTGGTAGTTTTCAAGTTTACTTACTGTACACTTAGAGAACTAAAAAAAAAAGTTAAAAATCATACAACTACTTCGTCCTTTGCTGCAATAAAAAATATAGCAATAAAACAAAACAGAGACAAAGAAGGTCTAGCCAGAATAATTGAGACACGCGCCTTCGTAAAATATTCGTTCTACGAACTGACCCCTATACATGGACTGGTTATAAGACGTATTATTTTGTACTCATTTGATTTTCGCTGAATAGTTTATTGCGATTTTGTGGATTTGAACTACTAATATAGATATAATTTAGAAATTAAGAGTCTCTTAACATCAACAGGCGCGTTTCTCTAGTAATAACTTGAAATGGATTGCTACGTCAATCACACAGATAATACGATGAGTTAACTTCTCGTAACAACAGCTGATTCAGGTGTTAGATCCGGAAAATAATACAATGACTCAATATGTTGATTCCTGTTACCACTTGTACTATTTCACGATAAACGCGGGGACTCCGGAAGAACGCGATAATCAAACGAATCACAGAATAAACAATACGCTTGGATTTTTAAGATAAGCTTATCTGTAGATATTGATAAACGGTCTTATGGAAATGTTAACGTATTTGTGAGTTTATGGCAAGTGGTTTAGTGTTTTAAAATATTATAATATACATGTACCAATTTTCAGCATTAAAAAATAATATATGTAAATTTTTATTAAAAGAATTTCTTCAATATGCTTTAGAAATCACAATATAAATTACGACCTTGCCGCTTTACTCCGAATGATTCCACTGGGATCCTTTTAGTGGACTACATTTTTATTATTTTTATCTCTTTACGGTCACCTACCGCTTCTTTTAAATCACGTCTCGCTACTTCTATGTTATGACAGGGTTATTAAAAATGGGCCAAAAAAAGTAAAAGTAAACCGATCGTTTAAATAAAAAACCAGGCGTGGCGAAGTATCATTCACGTAATTTTAAAGACCAAACAATACATAACTGATTAGCCTTATCTTGGATTCAGGTAAACATTTCTTTAAAATGACTAAATTCTTTCGAATTAATGGTTTTGATACGGAAAATTGAACCTTTAAGGTTTAGAATAAGGTATATAATCGTAGCACACTATTTTCGCAGTAATGCATGTCAATCAAATGACTAATTTGCTTTTGTTTTTATTGTAGTTATAGAAAAATAGACTCTATTACAACTAATTAGAAGTGCTTAATGTTTCTTAGAATGGTAAATGTATTTTGTTAGGCTAAACGGTAGGGGGTCGGTGCGTTCAACATTTTTGACAGGGGAACAAAACACATTTGTCAAAAATATTTTTTTTTTATCTGTACCGATTGGATCAGGTATATTGCAGTCTGTGGTGTGCAGTTAATGTGGACGCACATTTTTAAATCATTAAACGTTGATTGAGTGATTAAAATGATTACTTAATGATTGTGTACGATTTGTTGTGATGTGACGAATTTGGTGTCGTTCAAATACTGGTTATAAAAGTAAGTTGTTTATATTTATTAAAAATTATTAACTAAATTAATTCCAAATTTAAAAAAATAGAGAAAACATAATTCTTTATTTTTTTTTAAATTTGGAAACGAATTGCCAGTATTTGCTTCTGTAATAAAATATACTGTTTGTTCGTTGTTTGTAACTATATTTATTCAGCGGAATTTGCTCAGTTGGTATTTTTTATTAGTGTACCTTTTGTGACAAGTCACGTAGTCACTTTATGCTTATTATTTGGTTTTCTAATTTAGTATTATTTTAGAGTATTTTTATGTTCCTAGGGTAGTAATTGAGTTTGAAACAAATTATAATCAAGAGAAGTTATTCGTTATCTGATCAAATTTTTCCGATTGAAAAATTCTTTTTTTTTTATTTTACGATTGTAACGTAGAACGCTAGTAGGATAAATGTGATAAATATAAAATTTTCATATTAGTTAATAATGTTAAAGTAATCCGATATAAATTTCTTCTGACTGTCTTACTCATATTATAAATGTGAATTAAATTATTCAAACTTTCGTGAGACATTATACTAAACTGATATATAAACACGGCTAAACACTCACTTATATTCGTCGGGTGGCGACGGTGTGTGCATCCGCGAAATAATACCAGTACCACTCATCCTGATGAAGGGCCTCCGATGGGCTCGAAACTAGTCGGTGCCGCCACCGGACGAATATACATGAGTGTTTAGCCGTGTTTATATATCAGTTTATAAATGTGAAGGTTTGGATGAAACTTGGCATAAATAATACAATAGTTTGGACGAACACATAGGCTACTCATTAAGTTTTTTTTTAATTTCAACAGTCTGTATTTATATCTTTTTTAAAGTAAAATTTCACTGTATTTAACATACTTGAGGCTTTTATCACAGTAACATTTGTCTTACAGCAAAATTGACATACTGTTTAATGTGATTTAGCTGAAACTATGTTACCAATAGCAAAGACACAAAGTAAACACCATCGAGATTGGTTGTGATTCGACATTCCCTCTGTTTACTAAGGAGTGATTCAATTCGTCTCATTCGCAGTATGTTTGTAATGTTAATACGCACATGTAACCTTGTCCAAATCAAAATGAACTTCGTGGTCCAAGTTATAAAATTAAAGCGATTTAAACATCAATCGTTTATCTGGCTGACATAAACCATATCCTAACACAACTCGCTCGTTTCTTTTCTCGACGTTTGACATATATCATCGTAATTTCAATTACCATAAGGCGTTTTTCACTACTTTCTCTTAGATTAGGTAGACAAATAAAATAAATAATCCTCACTAAATTGCTACATGAATCGTTGAAATAGATTGATGTAGATAGATGATATTTATCTTAAAAAAAA